AGTGTCCTAGCCTGCACCTCCTCGAGGACGGGCATGAGGGCGGAGAGGCGCTTGGTGGGGGAGAGCGAGGAGCGGCGCTCCGACTCGCCTGCGCCGGGCGAGGGGCGGGGCGGGGGGGGGGTGGGGGGCGGGGCGGAGGAGGCGGGAGGCGGGGCGGGGGAAGGCGGGACGGGGAGAGGGAGAGAGAGGGTGGGAAGGGGAGGGGCGGAGTGGGGGACGCAGGAGCAGCGGGTGGAACGGCAGCGAGGCGACTGGGCGGCGGCGGCGCGCGCGCTGCGGAGGTGGAGACGCGGGCGAAGGATCTCGATAGGACACTCTCCACAGCCGCCCCGGCCGCACCTTCCCTCGGCGCCGGTCCTCCGCCGGCGGCGCGGCGACGCTCAAAGGCGAGCCACATCTCGGCGCAGGCGGTGACCGCCTCCCTCGGCAGCGCGGCCAGTGCGGGCAGCCCGTACGAGCGCTGCAGCGCCCGTGCGATCATCGCGCGGCGAGGGCCATTCCGTCTCCACGACTTGTACAGCTGCTGAAGGAGGGCGGCGGCGGCGAGAGAGGCGACGATCCAGAGCCCGCGGAGGAGGTCGGAGACGGGGTCCGGCACCGGGTCGGGCTGCGGAGAGCGCTTCTCCCAGGGCGGCTTCCAGCCCATTGCGGAGCCAGAACCGGCAGGGAAGGTGTCCGTGTTGGCTGGCAATTAAAGAATTTGAATCTTTCGAGGTTAATCTCCTTTGGCCGCGTTGGGACCGGCAGGCGGCGGCGTCGCAGGACGAGGCAGAAGAGAACGACGCGACAGAGGAGGAAGTGACAAGGGAGAGACCGACGAGAGTGGGACGGCCGCGAGGTGGCATGAAGGTTGCAGCGAGAAGCGGCGAGAGACTGCGAAAAGAGATACGAAGAGGCAGACTCCCCAGGGTGGGCGACGGCTAGCGCACCACACTCCTCTCCTTAAAATCCCTGTGTGGTGGCGGCGTGCCGTTCTCCCATCCCTCCCTTGGGTTGTCTGTTTTCTTTCTTTCTTTTTTTTGGCCGCGTTGGGTAGCGAGGATTGGTGTGACGCGATCCACGCAGGCGTGTTTTCTGGCGGCCGACCGTCAGTGCACGGAGTTGCCCCTTCTCCGACTGCCCCGGCTAGTTCACGAGTTGGAGTTATGAAATGAACTCGGGGGCACGGGACGCGGCACAAACGGGGCACAAACGCCAGGCTACAAAGACGGGGAGGCACGTAGTGACGCAGGGGAGTCTAGGCGACGGCGGCGTCCTCCGACGCCGCGGCGAGCCTGAGCTCGGTCGCAATCTCTTCCGCCGCCGCGAGCTGCAGCGCGACTGACATGCTCACGAGTTTCGCGGGAGTGACCCCATGAAGGCTTCCTCAGTGGGTTAAAATTCTTTAGTGAGTTCGTTTTCTTGCCCTCAGGTGAGCGGCGCCGTCAGCCCAGTTTTGCTGCCCGAGCTGGCGGTGGGCGACCTGGCCGCGCTGCGAGCCTTCCTCTCCGGGCGGCAGACGCGTGGCACGTCGCTCGCGGCCCAGCTCGACGCGTGGCTCGACACCGAGAAGCAGGACACGCTGCTGACCTGGGCCGCTCGCCACGGGCAAGCCGAGGCGGTGCGGCTGCTGCTCGAGGGCGGCGCGAGCGTCGGGGCGACGAATGGCGGCGGCGCGTCGGCGCTGTTCATCGCGTGCCAGAACGGCCACCTCGAGGTCGCGCGGCTGCTCCAGCAGGCTGGCGCGGCAGTCAACCAAGCCAACAACAAGGGCTCCATGCCGCTGTTCATCGCGTGCCAGAACAACCGCCTCGAGTGCGCCCGGCTGCTCATCGAGGCGGGCGCGGCGAAGGACCAAGCCCGCAACGATGGCGTCACGCCGCTGCTCGACGCGTGCAAGCGGGGCCACGTCGAGATCGCCCGGCTGCTTCTCGAGGCGGGCGCGGCGAAGGACCAAGCCCGCAACAAAGGCGTCACGCCACTGCTCGTGGCATGCCACTTCGGCCACACCGAGGTCGTCAAGCTCCTCTCCTCCTACGGCGCCTCCCGCGCCGCAGTGCCGCGTTTTGGCACGCCCGAGGAGGTCGCAAACAGCCGCGGCCACGCCGACCTCGCCGCCTGGCTGGTCGCCAGCCGCGGCTGGACGCCGCTCGCGCACCTTGAGACCGCCGCCCGCGCTCTCTCCCTGCTGCGCAGCGGCGCAAGCCTGCACGAGGGCGGGCCGACGCCGCTGCAGCGCGCCGCGGGCGGCGAGGGCGAGGCGGCGGCGCTGATCCGGCGGGCGGCGGCGCCGTGGTCGCCGGCAAGCCACTCGCTCTTCCCCGCGGCGGCCCGCGCGCGGGCGGCGCTCCTCGTCGTCTCGCTCTACGAGATCCACGAGCGGCACCATCTCGACTCGGCAGGAAACACGAACGGCATCGCGGCGCGCGACTTTGTCACGTGCGTGCTGCGCTTCGCGATCACGCGCGAGACGGAGTAGAGGAGCGCTGCAGTGGCCCTGCTCTCACCTTGGAACTGCCGCGGCGGTGGCGTTACTGCTGCCTAGTCTGCTGGTAGGAACGGGCGGGCCACAGCTCTGGCTCTTGCAGCGCGGGTGGCTCGCGATCGGCGGGGGGCGGCGCCTCGGCTGCCGCGGTGGTGGGTGGACGACGGTGTTGCGATCAGCGGTGGCGGCGGGGCGCGCGGTCCTGCGTGCGCGTGGCGTGCGGTTGCGTGGGCAGGCGCCGCGGCGGCGGCGGCGCCACCGGGGATGGGCGGCAGCGGGTGGGGTGCGGGCGCAAGCAGACTAGAGTTCGACCGCTGAGCGCAGGCCCGTGACCGCTGTGCGCAGGCCCGAGGTTGAGAACGTCGACGGGGCATGCGGGTGGGCACGTCTATTTTGTGTGCAAACAGTACTTTTTGGTGTAGTGTCGGCACCTGGACATGCCCGTTCGACCACTCGACAGGATGCGCATCTCTCTCTGGAGCGGTGTCCGGAAGGCTGCTTCGGTGAGGCGGCAAGTAGAGCGCGCGCGCGAGAGAAAAGCCTGTGTGCTTGCGGTGCGCTCTCGAACCATGTGCAGGGAAATCTAAATACGACCTCACATTATGGATATACGCCCCTTGTGTGTTTTGACTCAAGTTCATGGATTGGTTCATGTGCCATGTGGCGGGGGGCTTGGGCGCCGCGCGCTCCTAGCCTCGTCGGACGTCGCCGCTGTGACGCGGAAACGACCCCGGCGGCCAGACCCCAAGAGACATCGAGGGACACGTACCTCACCACCGGCACCGGCACCGGCCGGCACCGGCGGGCTCCCTGCAGCGGGCTCCCCCGACGTCGACGTCGCGACCCCGTGCGCCGAAGATACGTTTGATACAGTGGTGTCGCGTCACCCGAGCGCCTGAACCTTGCCCGTTACGCCGTGAGGGTCCATCACGTACCTGCGCAAAGAGCCGACACACTGAGAGGCAGAAATGCGGGAAGGGAGGCGAGGCGTGCACGGTGAGCTGGCGCAGCGCACTTGACCGACTCGCCCTGGTCAAAGTTTTGGTAGCCCAGCGGGGCGTCGTCGAGGGAGATGATCTTAGCATTGACCGCCTCTGCGATACGGACCTTGTCGTGCATTATCGCGTTCATCAGAGGCCGATGGTACCTGGGATGAGGAGGGCTTGATAGAGTTCTTTTGGTGGGCGGAGAGGGCGGGGGTGAGCTGGGAGGCGGAGTTTCAGATGGGGGGCTAGAAGGCGGCTGCGAGGGCGGCGGAGGATAGGGTGGAGGTGGTGAGGGAGGCGGTGGGCTCGGCGGGGGTGGCAAGGGTGGAGGCATACTTCATGACTGGGCACTGCCCCGTGTGCATCGACGCGCTCTTGGACCACGCCAGCCCAAAGGTCATGTTTAGCGAGCCGAGCTGCGCAGCCTCCGTTGAGGCGCCCGGGTCCTCCGTCACGTACAGGCCCGGGATTCCGATCTGGCCGCCCTCGCGAATGATGCCCATACAGTCGTTGAGCACCTGAGCCGGCTTCTCGCCGCCCGATGCGCCCGAGCCTCGCGCCTCGAAGCCCACGCAATCGATGGCGCAGTCCACGTCTGGCGAGCCGGTGATGGCGTGGATCTTGTGCGCAAGATCACCGTCGCTCGTGATGTCGATCGTCTCGCAGCCGAAGGAGCGAGCCTGCGCCAGCCTCGTTGGGATTGCGTCCCCGACAATCACGCACGCCGCGCCCAGCAGGTGGCACGAGGCGGCACAAGCGAGGCCAACGGGGCCGGCGCCGGCGACATAGACGATGGAGCCGGGCTCGACGCCCGCCTGCTTGGCACCGTGGAAGCCGGTTGGGAAAATGTCCGACAGCAGCGTCAGGTCGGCAATCTTCTCCATCGCGCGGTCCTTGTCGGGGAACTTCAGCAGGTTGAAGTCGGCATAGGGCACCTGTATGCGCAGGAATTTAATGGGGGTAAACAGAGGTCGTCTCACCGCATTCACCGCCGCCGCCCTCGCCGCCGCCCTCGCCGCCGCCCTCGCCGCCGCCCTCGCCGCCGCCAAGCCCACGCCCCCGCCGCTTGTGTGACGGAGTGTCCGCCGCTTCGAGCGAGGGAGCGGATCGGGGCACGCACCATCACATACTCTGCCTGCCCTCCCACCCAGCCTCCCATGTCGACGTAGCCGAACGCGGCTCCGGCGCGGGCGGGGTTCACGAACAGGCAGACACCCGTGTCGCCCCGCTTGCACGCGGGGCACCGGCCGCAGGCAATGTTGAACGGAACCGAGCAAAGGTCGCCCTCCTTCATGAACTCGACGTCGCGGCCGACCTCGACAATCTCGCCAGTGATCTCGTGGCCGAGCACCATGTAGCCGCCCGGGAGCGAGGTGCGCCCTCGCACCATGTGCTGATCCGAGCCGCAGATGTTGGTCGTCACGACCTTGCGGTGACGAGAGGGAGACGGGGTCATGCGGTGCCACTGCACGCCCGGGGTTTCTGCACCGAACGATCTTACTTTCGCTATCGAAAGTGTTGATCTATAACAAAACGAGTGCATCCCTCCAATGCTCTTCCTGACGGCAGTCTCTGCGATCTGCTATCGTCAGCACCCGAGTCTCCCGGCCACCCGCACGCCGCGCCGCGCCGCCGCCTCCCTCTCAGCTCTCCCACCGCCGGACTACATGAGCGACGCGGCGCTCAAGGCTGAGCTTCGAGCGCGTGGCCAATCCGCGAAGGCGCTTGGCGACGCGCAAGCCGCCTGGCGCGCCGTCCTCATTCGCCATCTCCTCGCCGCACGCACTGACGATGCCGCAGCGGCGCAGCCAGCGGCTGGGAAGGAGAGGCGCCCTCCGACGATCGAGGGCGCAGCGGCGCGTGGGGCGGCCAGAGGCGGCGCCTCCTTCTCATTTCTGCGGCCGACTCCCGCCGCGGCGCCTCCTGTGGGTGGAGAGTCGCCTCTCGCTGCGCCCGAGTCGCTGTCCGAGCGAGCAATCAAGGCGGAGCTCGACGAGCGCGGTGTCGCCTGGCGTGGGCGTCTTCAGAACTGTCTAGGAACCTTCTGGGAACCGTCTGGACCCTTCTAGGTGTCGCCTGGCGTGGCGTCTTCCCCATGTTTCGTGAGGATCTCATCAAGACGCTGACGAGGGCGCGCGCCAGACAAGCGGAGGCTGCGGCTGCGGCGACAGCACACGCGGCGGCGGCCGCGGCCGCGGCGGCGGCGGGCGGGGCGGAGGTGGCTGCGGTCAGGGCGGGAGGACGGAGTGGGGCGCTGCCGGAGGAGGAGGGGGCGCTGTCGCGTCGGGCACTCGAGGTGTGCTGAATACCGCACACCGGGCGGGGGCACGCACGCGGCCTTCCCTACCCGAGATTACCCGAGATTACCCGAGATTACCCGAGATTACCCGAGATTAACACGGGCGGGGGCACGCACTTGCTGCTCCCTCGGGGCGAGGGACAGCAGCCACACTCCACGCACGCACGCACGCACGCACGCACGCACGCTCCCGTGGCGACGGCCGACACCCGCGCAGTGCGCAGCCCACTGGCTCACCAACAAGTCGTGAGCTGGTACTACCGACTGCTCGCGCGGGGGCTAGCACGCACGCACGCGTGGCGAGACGGCTCGGGGGCCTCTGCCTGGTACAGCCCCAGCCTACCCCGCGTCAGCTCTCGAGGTTTCTCGAGAGCCAGCCGCTCAGTGTACGGACTCTGTGTCACACCGGGCGGCGAGGAGGGGCGGCAGCAGTAGCAGACGGCCGAGGGGCTAGCACCGAAACACCCGCCTTCTACGACCCCTTCTAGGAAGGCCCTTCTACGAGCCTCCTAGGACCCTTCTACGACCCCTTCTAGGAGCCTTCCTAGGAACCTTCTAGGAACCTTCTAGGAACCTTCTAGGTGTACGCCGCCGACCAGAGCGCCCGGCGGGAGCTCCGTACCTTCAGGTCGCTTCTAGGAACCTTCTAGGAACCTTCTAGGAACCTTCTAGGAACCTTCAAGGGAACCTTCTAGAGCTCCGCACCTTCAGGTAAACTTCCCATGTCATGGCAGCTTCCTTCATGGAGATGTCTTTACTTGTGTGTCTCGCGCCTTGGGGGGGGGAGCGGAAAGGAGGAACCTCTTCCCAAGAGTACCCTTTCCCTCATGCTTCCCTTCCCTTGCCTAGCGGTGAGCTCGTGGCTTAGCACATTCGAGGTTCGCCATCGTTCCCATGACCCAACCCGCGATCGCTTCAGCGGCTCGAATGCCTTCGCGAACCGGGCGCGCGAGCAGCTGGCGGACGCGCAGAGGGAGGCGCGCCGAGACAGACACACACACACACACACACACACACACACACACACACACACACACACCGCACGCTGCGCACGCGCCGCACCCCCCCCCCCACACACACACACCTCGCCCACGCGCACCGGGCCTTGCACCTTTGATGAATGCCGTGCCGGCTCCTGCCGTCCAGACGTGGAGTCGCGAGGGACTAGCCTGGCCCTCGCCCCGCCACCTCACCCCACCTCACCCCCACCGCACCCTCGCCCTGCGCCAGGCGAGCCTCTCATTCACCGACGAGGAGCGGCTCAAGGAGGGACTCAAGAGCCTAGGCCCACTCTCCCCCACCCCCAAACCCCAAACCCCACAACCTCTACCCTAACCCCCACCCCTACCCGGACCCCAACCCCACCCCTTCCCCTAACCTCAACCCCCACCCCACCCCAAACCCCAGCCCCGAACCCCAGCCCCAAACCCAACTCCCGCCCCTAGCCCTAGCCCCCCCCCCCCCAACCCTCATCCCCCCCTAACCCCAACCCCCCTACCCCTACCCCACCCCCCCCCTAACCCCAACCCCCCCCCCTAACCCCAACCCCCCACCCCACCAGGCGTGGTGCCTCCAGCAGCGGAGCGGGCAGAGCTGGCGGCCGAGCTGCTGCGCTCCGAGGCGGACGCGTGCTAACCTCGGATAATCTCGGGTAATCTCGGATAATCTCGGGTAATCTTGGGTAATCTCGGGTAATCTCAATCTCGGGTAATCTCGAGCTGCTGCGCTCCGAGGCGGACGCGTGGACGCTCTGCATGGGGTTGCCGGCCCCTAGAAGCGGAATATCTCCCCATATCTCCCCATATCTCCCCATATCTCCCCATTTCTCGGGCCCCTCGAAGCGGAAGACGCACTCTTGTGACCAACTTCGCGCTCGAGAGAGAGAGGGCCGCGTGCTCAGCTGCGTCCCGCTGTACCCAGCTCTATTCCGCCGTATTCAGACGTAGTCAGCGGTCTTCGCCCCCCCCCTCGTACTCACGCGGGGCTCGGAGTATTCTGCACGAGACCGAACTCCCGTCCCCCGGACGGCATGAGGTTACCCCCGAGATTACCCGAGATCACCCGAGATTACCCGAGATACCCCGAGATTACCCGAGATACCCCGAGATTACCCGAGATACCCCGAGATTACCCGAGATTACCCGAGATCACCCGAGAGTAGGCTGCCCGCCCTGGACGGCATGAGCGAGGAGCAGCTCGCCGCGGAGATCGAGGGGCTGCGCGAAAGGCCGCCTGCTGCCGGCGCTGCCGGCACTGCCGGCGGGGAGGGCCGCGGGGAGGGGGCGCCGCTGCCTGCCGAGGCCGCTGCAACCTCCGGAAGGCCGGCGCTCGAGGCGGCGCTGCTGCGCGCCCGCGCGGACCGGTGGCGCAGGGTGGGCTACTCGTAGCGCTTATGGCTCTACTAACTAGCGGTATGTCGTATGTGCGGCCCGGGGGGGCGGCGCCAGGTGGTTTCATGAAAGCGCTTGAGCGCGCATGCTCTGACGACTGACCTTTTTCCTGCCGCATAGAAGAGAATCAACTTTTGTGTGTGTCCTCGCGCTGCGCCTGCGCCGTGTGCTGCGATCACGATGTGCGAAGCGGCAAGCTTGCACGACCATCACAGTGTAAAACACGCACCCGGACCCGCGCGCCGCGGCGTAGGTCGCACCCGCGGCGCAATATTCCACAATAATGCGCACTGATAGAGAGGAAGATGGAGCATGTAGAACATGCGGAGTTCAGCCGCCACTCCTTACCGCCACTCCCCCAGCTCGAGCACCGCGCGCGACGTCCGGAAACCAACCGAAGACGCCGCGGCGGCTCGGCTGGGACTGGCATCACCGGCATCAGGCCTGATGAGGGAGGTTGAGCCGTCTCAGGAGGTGTGGGCAGCCCGGCTGGCGGAGCGCTCTCGCCTGTGAGTCCCGTGTGTTGCTCCCGTGTGTTGCTCCCGTGTGTTGCTCCCGTGTGTTGCTCCCGTGTGTAGCTCCCGTGTGTTGCTCCCGTGTGTTGCTCCCGTGTGGCCGCTGGCTCTGACTCTCGTTCTCGCTAGCGTCCCTACTCTCTTAGCAGCGCCAGGCTGTCTCTCCCATCGCCTGCAGCATCTCCCCATCTCTCCCCATCTCCCCATCTCTCCCCATCTCTCCCCATCTCTCCCCATCTCTCCCCGTCTCTCCCCCTCTCTCCTGGGCAGGGGCATGGGCAGGGAAATGGGCAGAGATGGGCAGAGAGTCCGACTCTAGCAGCGCCAGCCCTGCGTGCTGAATACGCCAACCTCAGGGCACGAATACGGTACTGTGCAGCTTACTCAGAGCACCGCGTGAAGACAACGGAGAGGAATGCGGGTGAGTACAGCGGAACACGTGGCCCTCTCGAGCGCTAGCTGGGAGGCATGAATACGTGTTCCGACTCGAGAGCGTCCCGCCAGACCGCCTCGCGTCCTGTCGCTGCCCCAAACTGCTCTCCCAATCTGTCTATGTCCCTGGCCTGGGCAGCCCGGGCAGCAGCGCGGTGCGGAGCCGGTGGTAGCAAGCATGCGCAACGCCCGACAGGCTCCCGAGGCCGCCGCCCTCCGCCGCCTCGCGCTCGCTCTGCCCGCCGCCGCCGCCGCCGCCGCCGCCGCCGCCGCCGCCGCCGCCGCCGCCGCCGCCGCCGCCGCCGCCGCCGCCGCCCGTGAGCAGCTCGCCGCACGCCTCGGTGGGAAGCTGGAGATCGGCCAGCTCGAGCGTCTGAAGCACGCGGCTCGCCTGCGGTGTGAACGGCGTCTCTTCACACCTCTTGCCGTGAGCAGCTCGGGCGCGGAAGAGGCGCCGCTCGCGGGAAGGAGAGGAGAGCTGGAGGAGGCGGAGGAGGAGGAGGAGGAGGAGGAGGAGGAGGAGGAGGAGGAGGAGGAGGGCGGGGGGAGGAGGAGGAGGAGGAGGAGAGGAGAGGGAGAGGAGAGAAGGCTATTGTGAAGCATGTCGGCTAGACCTCACCGACGGAGAGTGGCCGACGTACTCGAAGGCCTAGAAGGCTCCAGACGGTTCCTGGAAGGTTCCTAGACAGTTCCGGAAGAGAGACCCACGAGCTCGAAGGCCTAGAAGGCTCCAGACGCTTCCTAGAAGGTTCCTAGACAGTTCCGGAAGAGAGACCCACGAGCTCGAAGGCCTAGAAGGCTCCAGACGGTTCCTAGAAGGTTCCTAGACAGTTCCGGAAGAGAGACCCACGAGCTCGAAGGCCTAGAAGGCTCCAGACGCTTCCTAGAAGGTTCCTAGAAAGTTCCAGAAGAGAGACCCACGAGCTCGAAGGCCTGCGTTGCGTCGCGGCCGGCGGAGGCGCGGAGCACATTTGGGTCGCCTGTTCCACAGCGTCGAGATGTGAAGAGACCCGTTCACACCGGTCGGCGTGCTCTCAGCAGGCGAACGCCAGGGTGCTCTAGCATGTACTCTGTCGCGTCGTACACTCGCCCGTGAATGCAGAGCAGCAGCCGCCCGTGCCCGCCCGGCTCCATCCACGACCGCCGGAAGCTGCGGTAGTGCAGCCTCCAGCAGGCGCCCCCTCTTCCGCGGGCGGGCAGCTGGCGCACGGGCGGCAGCGGCATCTCCCCGCGGAAGAGGAGGCGGGCCACGGGTTCAAAGCGGCGCCGGAAGGCGCCTTCCCAGTGCGCGCCGTCGTCGAGAGCCGCGCGGAGGTGCCTTGCAGCAGTGGTAAGATCATCGTCGGCGGCAGTGGCGGCGGCTAGGGTGCCGATGCTGTGCCTGCAGACTGCGCCGAGCACGAGGAGCTCCGGCGCGGAGACGTTCTCGAGGACGGATGCGAAGCAGTCGTCGGTCAAGGAGAGGAGGGAGAGAGGCTCATTGGCCGGGGAGGGCGGACGTGACAGCAGAGAGCAAATCAACGAGCCCGACAGAGGTGCTGGTTTTCCATCGCTCGCTTGGTACATCCCGCCTCAGAATGCGCGCACGATGGGATGGGATCACAGAAAAAGAATTAACGGTCGTTTTATTACCCAAAAGCTAGGCTACACAACGCCCTCTATGTTGGGTCAAGGCGGGCGCCTAGAAGAAAGCGCCGCCCCCCGAGGGGGAATCCCACCCGTACCCCGAGCCCCCGTCGAAGAGCGCGTCGAAAGCGTCGTCGCCTTCGTCGTACTCCTCCGCGTCAAAGCACCGCGCTCGGACTCGGTTGACGGCCACCCAAGTGCTTGGCTCGTGCCAAGCCGACCGGCAGGCGATTCCCACTCACTGCTAGGCTAATCTCGGGCTGTCCGGCGTCAGTGTGGTGCCGTGAGGGGCGCCGCCCCCAAAACTACGACTATTAGTACCGAGCGGGGGCAGTGCATTTAATTCTGTCAAAAATCCAAATCTGCTCCGTGGAGCTTATTGGGCTAGGATCATACGTCCGGGAGGCCCCCCATGCGTGCCGTAACGATCGACAGCGATCTGGCTACTCTGTTCACGTTCACACCTCGTAAACCCCCCATAACGCGACTATCGAATTCTTGCTTGCACGCCAAGCTGCCTGAATCCACGCAAAGGCGAGCTCTACCTGGTCATGTCGCTCGTGTGGGCCGGGAGCTTTATCACGGAGGCTCCCACACTCGGATGGATCTCCCAGAAGGTTGATGGCTCATACGCCGCGCCGAGCATGAGGATGGCCGTCCTCGAGCTCAACGGGACCACGGTCGCGGCTCTTGAAGACGCACGCAGCCGGGCAGAGCTGCTGCTCAGTTCGACGTGCGACGAGCGTCACGACGGCGATACGTTGCGCGCCGAAGCGTGCAGCGACCTCATCTTTGACGAGGGAGTCTGGCAGACCACGTACCGCATGGCAGTTCCGGGGCGGCAGTTCGGCGTCTTCGCAGACAATCTGCCTATCACGTTTGAGCAGGACTCGCACTACCTCAAGACGCTCGACGGCGCGAACCTCGAGCCGATTGCCGAGCTTCCAGAGGCGCCGGACGACCCTATTCCGTGGGCGGAGGGCATCGGCGCCGCTTTTGCTGTCAACTGCATCACCTTTTCCGGCGTTGTCTTCTTGGGGCCCGGCCTGCGCAAGCTATATCACCGGCACGAGCGCCGCTTCCTGATAATCATGTCGGCCTTCGCCGCGGGCGCGCTCCTCGCCGCCGCCTTCTACCTAATCCTCTTCGAGGCGACCCACCTCGTCGGCACCTCCAGCAAAGACGAGTCGGTTGTCACCGCCCGCTGGGGCTCAATGGTACTGCTCGGTTTCATAGCGCCCTCACTCTTCGAACTGGCCGTCCAGCTCCTTCGCTTCGTCCTGGCCGCCAGCTCCGTCAGCGAAGGCGCTTCACGCCGCTCGCCCTCCCAAGACCCGGCTGGCCTACTGTCCACCTGCTGTTGCCGCAAGGTGGAGGCAAACGACCCGTGCCCGGTGGAACCGAAGTCCATCACCGTCGCCGACCCCACGAACCGAATTCGCGTCTTGAGCGGCGTTCTCATCGGCGACCTGATGCACAACTTTTGCGACGGCATCTTCATGGCCACTGGTTTCCGCTACTGCGGCAGCTCTCTGGCTTGGAGCATTGCCACCGCGACCATCTTCCACGAGATTGCGCAGGAGCTCTCCGACTTCCTCATCCTGACGAACTCCGCTCAGGGCGGCCTCAAGGTGCCTCTCGCCCTCCTCCTCAACTTCGTCTCCGGCACGGGCGTGCTGTGGGGCACCGTCCTCATCTTTTCGGTGTCCATTGACGACGCTGCTGTGGGCATGCTCCTCGCCTTTGGCGGCGGCGTCTACCTCCAAGTTGGCGCGGCGGAGTGCATGCCCCGCGTGTACGAGGGCGTGCAAAGCGCCGCCGAGCGTGTCTTCTGCCTCGCCGCCTTTTGCGTGGGCACCGTGGCAATCGGTCTCGTGCTTCTCGACCATCAGCACTGCAGCACCGCTGGTGCGGGGCACGGCCACTGACCCGGAGCTGGCCTGGGGGGGATTGCGGGGCCGCGGTGGGTGGGGGACATAATCTTCTGCTACGGTGGGGGTCTGGCGCAGCGGGCACGGGGGAGGAGGCTAGCCCCTCATGAGCAACGGGGGTGGCTAGCCCGGCGGTGGCGCACGGGCCTCGCAACCTCGTTCGTGGGGTAAGGTAAGGTAAGATCTGCATGCACATCATGAAGGAGCGCATCAACACTACAAAACACAATGAGGGCGTACTACCCTACCCACCCTGGATCTGGTCCCGGTGGCGGTGCCGATGTGAAGGAGCGCCTCGTCACCGGGTGCCCACAGGACCCAAAAAAGAAAAGGAAAAAGAAAAGGGCCACCCCCGATCGCAGCACTTCGTGTTGGAGAGTCGAGATATTGAGAGTGTGACTAGGAGGGTGGGACGCTGAGGATTCTCAAAGGTATACCCTTGGAATGGCCGGATCCAGCCTTAAAAGTACGAGATCGCGCGCGCTTCGCGCACAGCACCGCCTGTTCTCCGCGGCTGAGTGATGACGCGTGCCGTGTACCAGTAAAATTGGGCGCGCGCGGCGCGACGGCGCCCGCGAGGGAAGGCGCGGGCGCAGCGGCCGCCGGCGGCCGTGCCGCCCGCCAGCCGGCGCAGCAGCGGCCAGCGCAGCGGCCGCCGGCGCAGCAGCCAGAGCAGCCGGTGCGCGCCTTGCGAGGCGAGTACTGCCGTCCGGCAGCCTTGAGGCGGCCGGGCGGCAGTACTCGTTCGAACTTTGCGAGCCGTGCGCGCGCCGAAGCGCCCGCGGCGCGCGCCCGCCCGGCTGCCAGTAGGAGGCGGCGCAATATGGCCTATAGTACAGCCCTTGAGGAGGAGGAAGAGGCTGGCTGGCAGTGCTGTATGCCGCCGAGGGACCGGCCGTGCGAAAATCCCCACCCCATTTGTTGAACCTCTCTTTTTCTCTCACATACAAACATCACGATTGCTGGGAGCAACTGCCAGCGTACTCCCCTAGCTCGCAGAGCCACGCCCCGCTTTGCCCGTTCTCGCTTACGTCGATATAGCCCCCGACGGAGGCGAGGTGAGGCAACCTGAGGGAAGCTAGCTGGACGTTGCCAGTTACCTGCGAGACAGCACCCAGCTTTGAAGAAGAGAGGGGGCTTCCTTGGCCTGACTGTTCAAGTGTGCGGTGTGGGATCCCGGATCGAGTGCCTAGGTGCGGTGCATGTGCGACGCACCGTGATGCCGCCCCGAACGGTCCCGAGGCTGCCCATCTTAATCACTTCCAGCTGCGGATTCTCTCGCACGGAGAGCGGCCCCGATACAGTGGCAAGCCGGTCCAAGGTCAGCGAGGAGATCTCCGAGTTGAAACGCACGATGACGCCGCGCGACACGGCGGTGAGGTCGGGCAGTCGGACGGCGCCACCGCCCTCAACGTAGAGATACGACTGCGACACGACGGCACATCCGGCGTCCCTCGCCTCAGCGTCGGTCCAAGCCTCGCCGGGGTACGCAGCACCCGCGGGCTGGTTGGCGAGGCTGCAGATTCCGGCCGCCATGATCTCGCTCTTGTTGCTGGGAGGGACGTAGCCGAAGTGAACAGCGACGCGTCCCGCTGGCAGCTGCAGGGCGCGACGTGCCGTGGCGACGCCATAGTTGGCGTACTCCGCCTTGCTCCACACCGCATAGTTGAGGGCGTCGATCCATCGCATGGCTGGTGCTGTCGAGGGGACCATATCACCAAGGGCACGATTGAAGAGGCTCTGCTCCCACTCGCAGGAGCGCTGTAGCTTGACGAGGAAATGCTCGAAGAATTTGACCGCTGGCTGGGTCGGCTGGGCCATCCAGAGCCCCGTGCTCTGGCATGCGGGCGCGTCGTACCAGTCGACACCGCACCGCGTCGCGTTGCGGCGCAGCGGATCGCTCGGGTCCTCCGCGCCTAGATCATCGCTCAGCCCCTGCAGGGAGTGTTGCAAACTCATCCGCTCGAACGGGTTGGCGGCAATTGCCACGTCCAAGTCAGCAAAGAACACGATGTGGCCTCGACGCAAGTAGTGCAGCGCGTACCAGAACTTTGCGTCCACTGCCACAGTACGGTCCCCAGAACGGTCGGCGTCTGGGTGCGCCCACCTCCGCCGCGAGTGGAGCACGCCGCAGTAGCCGTGGAGCCTATCCTGCCTGCACGGCAGCCCCGCTGCGCGAAGGTGGATGCAGGTCTGCATTTTGGAGTCAACACCAATGAGAGTCGGCTCGACGGCGACAGCACGCGCCCGCTCCACAAAGTGCCTCACCATGTCGATGATGCCCTGCTGCCGCGCAGTGAAAGAGGACCGATTCTCTGCTTCTTGCAGTCCGGGGAGCGTGACCGTTGCCAACAGCAGACAAGAGGGGTGCCTCTTGCCGCGTGGCCGGTAGAGAATCGGGGAGGGGACGCCCGCGCTGCCAATTCCACTGCACGGGCCCAGACCGCTTGGGAGCGGTTTGCAGCAGCAGTATCGGCAGCAGGGAGGAGCTCGGTTTGCCTGTGCTCGAGGCACCGGCGCTGGTGTGATTCTCGCCTGGAAGGCTGCGGGCGCTGCGTCGTCCGGCACCCAGCGGCGCAGACCTTTACTCCAGGGCATCGCCCATCGCCGTCATACGTCGGGGAGCTCGTTCCCGAGTTCTTCGGCTCGCTTGCTGTCGAAATTGGAGTAGATTACGCGGGCTTTTCGATGTTTTTCGCCGATTCTTCGCCGTTCACAGCCAGCCACAGGAAACCTGCCCACGGTTCCCTGGGGTCGCCTCGTGAATAAAAGAAAGAGGGGGAAGTTGTGTCGCCAGCAACAGGCATCTAAGCGTGAGGGCAGCAGCGCTCAGTGCGTGCGTGGCTAGGAGATTCCTATTGAGGCGTTCGTTGTGCCGCACTCTGCCCACAGGCGACCCTCCCCCAGCAGCCACTTAGGCTTGGGGTGATCGAACGACCACTCGCGGATCGCGAGCTGGAGCGGACACTTGTGCTCCATCGCCGCCTTGTCGGGCGATACGCCCTCCTCCCGCGCCTGCCGCACAGCCGCCCACGGCCGCACTCGCCCACCACCGAGCATCGCCACCGCAGGGCCGACCACGTCCATGTACTCCATGCGAGCGCCCGCCTACTCACAGCGCATGCAGATGCGCATATGGCCGTGCCCGTGCAAGTGCGCCTCCTCGCAGGCTCAGGCGCGATCAGTCACGGGACGACCGACGGAAGCCAGATAAGCCACAAAACTCGCTCTCGCAGAGCAGGTTTTCACCGATTTGCTGTGGGCGTTGGCTGAAAATAGCACTAGTTAAGGGCCAAGTCAAGCGAAAATCGGCCCAACGAAAACAGCACTAGTTAAGGGCAAAAACCGATTTGCTGTGGGGGGCGTGACGAGCGCTCGCGGAACTGGTCCGCGGCGCCCGCCAGGGGCGTGCGCGAGACAGGGCTCGAAGCCCTTTTCTGTGAGCAGGGATTCCCTCCCGGCGGGGGTTGTGGCGGAGAGCCGGCATGGGAATCGCCGGCCCCCACCGGTCTGTATCGCGCGCCTTGCGGGGGGGGCGCGGAAAAGAGGAACCTCTTAGCCCATCGCCACGGCGCTGCATGCAGCGCCGGGCGACGACGGCCGCATGGTTCACATCCTGACTTCCCTAGAGCTCTAGCCACCCGCGGCCGCTCTCCATCCGACGCGCGTCGCTGGGCGCGCCTCCTACTCGCAAAATCTTTTGCGCAGAAATGCTGTGCGTTCTGCTTGGCTCGCTGCGCCCATCGCACGCGCCCTCGCGTGCCTGCCCTCCTGCCGCGTCGCTCGTGCTCTCTGATGAGGGCGACTGGCTCGCGGCGAGCAAGCCGGCCGGAATCACCGTACACGAAGGCAGCGACAGCCTGCTGGCGGCGCTCCGTGCTGACGGTTACGGCGAGCTGCTGCCTGTCCATCGCCTCGACCGCGACACGTCCGGCGTGCTGCTGCTGGCAAAGCGGCCCGAGGCGGCGGCGGCGCTTCAGGCAGCTCTGGCGGAGACGGCCGTGAAGCAGTACCGCGGTGTGCTGGTGGGAGTTCCGCCGGCGAGGCGCGGCAGATGGGCGGGCGCACTCTCCAACCGCGCCGAGGGCCGACGCAACCCTCGCGGGGTGGCGGCGGAGCGGGCGAGACGTAGCCGCGAACAGCAGAGCCGAGAACGAGCTGCGAGGGCCGAACCTTCCCCGAGCCTCCCCAAAACCTTCCCCGAGCCTTCCCCGAGCCTTCCCCGAGCCTTCCCCGAGCCTTCCCCGAGCCGTGCCTGGACCTTCGCAGCCCTCTCGTAGGTGAGTGCAGAGACGGAGTATGGCCTCGTGAGAACCTTCCCCGAACCTTCCCCGAACCTTCCCCGAACCTTCCCGTAGGTGAGTGCAGAGACGGCCTACGACCTCGTGAGCGACAACGGCTTCCTCGCCAGCGCCGACCTCACGCTCGCCGTCGGTGGGCGAGATTGGCAGCCGGGATCGGATCGAGCTGCCACAAGCGAGCAACACGCGCTGTGAATAGGTGGCCGCACGCATCAGATCCGGAGGCACGCTGCTTCGGCCGGAAGCCCGATCTTTGGCGGCCGCCGGCTACGGCGGCCCACCGAGGTGTGGGGAGACCCTGTTTACCCAGATTGGGGTGCGAAAACAGGCGACCGCCGCTACGGCAACCCGCGGCGCAACGCGCAGCTGCAGGAGCGGTACGGCTTTGACGGCATGGCGCTGCACGCGTCGCTGTTGCGGCTCGTGGTGGACGGCGTGGCGTTCGAGTTCGAGGCGCCGCTGCCGGCCTCGTGGAGCGCGCTGGGGGCGCTCGACGGCAGTTAATCTTAATGGAGGTTTCGCGTGGACAGAGCGGCAAACGTGTTTTTTACACAGCCACTAATTCATTCCGTAGACAACGCCCACACCCGTATCTCTCATATACACACTCACACACGTTTGGCCCCGCGGGTTTTGGTTGCCCCCCCCCCCCCCCCCTCCCAGCCAGAATTTGGCAGCCAGCCCCCTGCTAGCTAAGCTAAGGTAAGGTAAGGTAAGG